CATTTAACCTATGTCGTCTCAAGTAGTACCAGGAAATATTGATCCATTTAACCTATGTCGTCTCAAGTAGTACCAGGAAATATTGATCCATTTAACCTATGTCGTCTCAAGTAGTACCAGGAAGTATCAATCCATTTAAACTATGTCATCTCAAGTGGTACCAGGGAATATTGATACATTTGAACTATGTCATCTCAAGTAGTACCAGGAAATATTGATCCATTTAAAATATGTCATCTCAAGTTGTACCAGGAAATACTGATCCATTTACACTATGTCATCTTAAGTGGTACCAGGAAATATCAATCCATTTAAACTATGTCATCTCAAGTGGTACCAGGAAATATCAATCCATTTAAACTATGTCATATCAAGTAGTACCAGAAAATATTGATACATTTAAACTATGTCATCTCAAGTGGTACCAGGAAATACTGATCTATTAAAACTATGTCGTCTCAAGTAGTACCAGGAAATATCGATCCATTTAAACTATGTTGTCTCAAGTGGTACCAGGAAATACCAATCCATTTAAACTATGTTATCTCAAGCATCTCCAAGTTTGAAAATCTTTTTTTTTTACATACAAGTAGATAAATAAAAATATATGTTACTGAAATATTTCTGCTTATACATAATTTGACACAGGCTAATACTGTACGAAGAGCTTTAACTAAGTAGTCAAAAATTGAAAAAACAAAAAACAGTTCACTTGTGTTTAATGAAAGCTGTATAATTCAAGAAGTATTTGTAAATAATATTTGAAACAACCTTTTAGCAGAATTAATGTACAAAATGAAGCGATGAAAATACATAGTTTCTAAGAGGAATGTAAGTGATGTCGGCATTTCCCTCAATAGAAACACACTATATTCAATGAAGAATTACCTAAGTTTTTAACTTTCACCTACAAAAGTATAATAGACAATAACTTTTAAGATCTTGAGACGTTTTGTACACACTAATATTTGATGATGTTAACAGAGACACAACAGTAAAAAATAACAATGCTAAAAGACTTAGATTTAAACAATTAAGAAGAAAATTTCAATTATAAAAATATCAAAAAGGAAGGAAATACAATAACTAAAGTTGTACTCATTTCATTGTAATACTGAACAAAGAATGTGGAAAAAAAAATCAACACCTCAAATATCTGATTACAGAACCAGAATGATCTGGTAAAGAAAAAAATAAATATTTATTCTTAGTGAAAAACCTTTAACTACAACATCAAGAAAATTCAGTAAAGCACTTATGTATTCAACTTTACTTTGATACAATTCAAATGTAAACAACTGTTCATATTACGAACAAATATGATGGTAATTTTGTAAGTATAACATAACTGTTTATTTGTGTCAACGTCTTTTAGAAAAATTGACTCATTTTTTTTTGTTTTCCCCAACAAACATTTTTGGATTCATTAATTATCACTAAGCTCTACAATTTTAACATATATTTTATAACCGAGCTTCTGCTACGTTTAAACCAAAACTGGCAAAATCGAATTGCAAAAAATAAATAAAAAATTAACACGATACTACACTTTGTATCAAAATATATCCGTCAAATACTGGTATAAGAAGCTTTACATAGTATTGTATTCTAACAATGCTACAACCTCATCTATATGGTGTACAGAGAAGGGTCTTGCATTTTTTTTAAATATTTCTTTACGAGTGATAAATATAAAATCAGTAGTTTAAATTAGTTTGTCTCCCAAATTTTTACTGATGAAAGCATTACTAGGAACATTTAACCTTCTATTCATATGAATACTTGGTTATCTTTATTTACAATTGCCTACTAGACAGTTTATATAAATCTTTATCAACATCCAAAACAGTTCTTATCATACATTCTCATGAAAACTTACAACAGTGATGTTCTGTCTTTTCCTTTTTCTCTCCAAATGATTGAATCAGTTCAGAATTATTGAACTGACCTCTGGTGGCTTTCGCCTCTTCAGTTAGTCGAGCTGCAACTTCTAGAAAGAGTTTTTCTACGTTGTCAGAATCTTTGGCTGATGTTTCAATGAAATACATATTGTGAGCTTTTGCAAATTCTTTTCCAATTTGGTTTGGGACTTCTCTGTCTTTTCTATCCATTTTATTTCCTGAAATTGTTAATGAAAAAAAAAGATTCAATATTACGCACTTTAACTTCACGGCTACTGTTTTATCTTAAACCTGGAAATGCTTTCATTTCGTTAGACGTCTAGGTCGACGTTATGAATCTGGTTTTGAGCATTTATTTTAATGGCATGATCATTATTTAGCCTGTTTCAACATATTTTATTCACACTTGTTCAGGGATAAGAATAGGTTAGGATAAAGTTAACGGAAAGCACAGCTGTGTCTAGAATGAGCACAATTGTTCGGATGGAGGGTAGAAAATGTTGTGCATTTTAAGTTTTAATATTTAGAAATTCATGCAGAATTAATATTTCAAGTTATTTATTGTCAGATTTGCATTGATTTCAGGAATGGTCAATAGCATATCCAAAAAACAGCACGAAACTGGTGATTGAAGAGAAATTCTCATCCCTGCAATGGTCTAACTTTTAAGACACTTTACTTGACTATTTATGAGTTAACGCTTTTGAAAATGTTTCCTGTAACTAATTCTATCTTTTGTTCTTAAATTATTTTCTTCGTGTTAAGATCAAAAATATTATTACCTGTTGCAATATTTTGCTGGATACATTTAGACGAACTATTCCCATTCTATGTTATTACTTTACATCAAGACTGCTCGGTAAAATCTTCTTGACATCAAGAAGATTGATAGAAAGTTAAGAATCATTATTTCTGTTAGCCATCTGTCACTGACCACTAAACAAGCATATGAAACCAAGAACAAAATAACTTTGCTCACCTGTAAAGAAATCCAAAGAAAAACACATTTGCAGATGTATCAAGTTTTATGAAGAAACTCGCTTATTTCTGACTTGCCAAAATAATGACGTGGTATTTAGAACCACATATAGGGCCAAAAACATGGCAGTTTTTGACAGTTAAAATCCTGTATGGTGCCACAAAAAAAAAAGAGAAGAAAAATTATGGTCTGCCTCACCATTTGACAATCTAAGAAAAAAAGAAATATTTCTGATATTTTGAAACTTGTCAAGTCGTGAAAATAAAAAAAGAGACCGATGTAGATAAGATACAACTCACTGAAGATCCACCAGTCTATGAAGTAGAACACATTTTTTTCATTTATCTAAATTATACCACAATGGACAAATTTCAGGTCTAGCTTTCAAACCCCATAAATCCTGCGTGGATTACTGACTTTAAAAGTCCCATTTTACTGAAGAATATAGAAAAAAAAAGATATTGGCTGCAACTTTATGTAATAGTTGAAGCGTCAAAACTGAAAAATTTAGTAATGAGCACTAAATGTATTAAAATTTTTTATATTTAGTTTGGCATTTTTCTACAAGTATCTTATTCTAATACATCAGGTGGGAATCAATTTCTAATACATACATTACTGGGAATTAATTTTGAATATATCTATGCCTTACTAGGCCTATAAAAAGCTAAACTTTACTTTGTTAATTAATAGTGTTTTAGTTTCTGTGAAGTTGTTCTAATGGCAGCTTAATCGTAAAGAAACATTTTCACTTCTGTTGATATTAATCTGGAGCCTGATTTATCCCCTCCCCAACTGGCTCTGACTGGACTTTTTGTGAAAAACGATCTCATTGTCCATGAGATAAAAGGATGAAACATCTAAATAAACCTGAAGAGATAAACCAATTCCTACAAATTGCTCAGAAATAAGTAACTAGATACTACAGAAAAGCAAAAAAACCAACTAAGGTACAGAAAAGTCATACTGATGCCACCATCAACTTTTTTTTTAGCAGAGCCTTAATATGCTTTAATGTAAGATCACACAGTATAGAGAGAATAAACCGCTCATTTGAATAAGAGCAACCAATAGCAACCAGGCAAGAGAGCCGAACGAAATTAGCTGTAATGTATAAAACTAAAATTTTAAGATTAGTGACGGAGAGAGAAAAAGACAACTAAGACAAGATGTGTGAGCAACCAAAACCTATAAAAACCATCTGGAAGGATGGTGCAAGATAAAATCATGAAGAACTTTGGGAGAAAAGTTATATATATATTAAGTGGGGATTAAGTGACAGAGAAAATTAGAAACTATTAAATCCAGCAAATTCACACACTTTAGCATTAGTGAATTATCTGCACCTATAACAAAAATGTAAGAGAAATAAAATTCAACGAATGTACTCACCTACTAATGCTCTAAGTACTTTAGGATTTGCAAACTGCTCTATTTCTTTTAACCACATGTGTAGACAATCAAATGTTGACTGTGACGAGATCTCGTAAACTAAAATCAGAGCATGAGCGCTGCGGTAATAGCTCTGGGTGATGGAACGAAACCTTTCTTGACCTGCTGTGTCCCATATTTGAAGCTAAAAGTACAAGGAAATATACATAAACAGACGATCTCGGTATAATAGTTGGATCTGAACCACAAATATATATATTTGTGCAACTTCTCCGAAAGAGGAATACACGTTATTACTTACCTTATCATAAAGATTTTCTTCCAATAAACTTTTATAATAAAAATGATGATTTTCATTTTGTTTAATTTGTACGTTTCTTTACAAGTAATTCACATATAACAATGTGTATCATCCTGAATTCACTAAAAACTAGTCAGTAAATTATACCTGTATTAGCTAATATATTGTTACGTCTCTGTGTTCGTTTGTTAATTTTCCATAGACATTCTTTCCGATAAATTTCAGTGATACAAGTCTGTTCTTAAATAAAACTAGTTTATTCTTTCTCAACTCAACTTTGTAATACACTTAATTTCCACAGTCACTTTAACTTAAACATACGCTATAATTCACAAAGATCCACACACTTTACTTACGGTCACTATCTCGCTCGACTCAATTGTCCGTCTCTGTCTGTCTGCAATTCTATTCTGATTAATTGATTTCGCTTTATCTGGCGCACTTATATACAAGAATAGAGGGTGCATAGAAAAGACCAGAGTTGCCACAAACACA